AGCTTCAAACGCCATCGCGTTATCCACTCGGCCATAGGGTCCTCATAGCCACTCGCTTGTGAGATGGGGTGAAGTTTAAATTCATTTAGTATTGTTTGTTTGAATCTTCCCATCGATGTGTTAGTATTTTGAGTTATTTTTCAGTTATTTAGTTTTGAAAAAACAATAGTTCTTAGTTGAAATTTAAGATTTTGAATTTGTTTAACATATCATTTTGCCGGAAACAGTATATTTAATTTACGAGTAATCATTCATCGAAGAATAACAAAAACATCAATTCCAATTTGCCCATTAATGGAATACCAGTCAAGAAGTACTGTATTAATTGAGTATATCTCTATTATGATGTTTTGTAGAGATTAGTTTTGTTTTTATATTATGTCCATCATGGATTGAGACTAATTGGGGTATCAAGTAAAACTAGGGATCATTGAACAGTATAGCATTGAACTTCTCAAATGTTCTCAGTCAGGATCTCTCCAGGGATCAAAACTAAGAACGATAAGTCTCGTTGCTAACGTTTGACACCTAGACCACTGATTCGAAATCCAATTATATTGACTTTTGTCTCCACCTGTATTCTAGTTCACAATATTAGTAGTAAGAGTAGCAGTAGTAGGGTAGTGTGGGTCACTTATATCCACATAAGTAATATATAACGATGGACAGGTATGGGATGTATTTCTGTAGAAGATCGATAAGCAAACAACGGGAACTGAACGCAATTGGTATAAAAATACATGAACAATCAAATCAAAGACGATGGACTGATATTTGCAGAAAGAACAATCAATATTGAGACAACTGATTAATAGTTTACAAATTAACTGTTTACTGTATGATTGTCAGATTTTAGTGAAATATTCTGTAATTTTGTGCTCAAATATATATATATATATATATATAACCGAAAAATAGCTTCAGAAGTTTTTATCTGTTTATTTCCTACAATTAGCAAATATTGATTTTAAAAAAGTTCAAATTCCACTAAATGCTGTACAGCAAGTTGCCATTGAATTGGTTTTTCATACAGAAGTTTTGCAAAAACAGATATAAAGCTACCTTCTAAAGTCTTTCTTTAACTTACTGGCTATTCAGCGAAATGCATGGGAAATAACATTATGCTTTAGCACTTAGTTTAGATCCCGACCAATGCTGCTACCTTGACGTGGTGGTCGGGCTTGCCTAGTGACGAACCAATAGAGCTATTCTGGATGGAACAATCGTTCCTCAAAGTCCTACAATGCCAAACAGGTCGGTTGAAGAGCGGTAAGACTAAAAGCAGCAAACTCAAGTTCCGAATGCGAAATCGAAATACTGTTCCAGGTCTACTGAAACCCCGCTCCAAACTACACATTGGAGCCTTCAACGTACACACCCTATGGTTAAGGCGCTAGAGTCTCGTACGATTGATGTATGCTGTGTCCCTGAAACACGTATACAGGATCCTAGTGTGGTCATTCACTTGACCTCACCTCGCCAAAATGAACAGCCGATGAAATACACCCCCCGTTTATCTGGCCACCCGATGACTAGTTCTCGTGGACTTGCAGGTGTAGGCATAGAACTAAGTACGATAGCTGAACAACCACTATTAGAATGGGTTCCTGTTAACAGTCGCCTATATGCTGTTCGACTAAACGGCTCCGTAAGAACTCTGAAGGATAGGGACACGCGTCGTTGCCTTTTCGTCATTTCTGCCTACACTCCAAGTGACTGATACCCGGATGAAGTGAAAGATGACTTTTACAGAAAGCTCTCTTAACTTCTTCATAAAGCCAAACGCTCAGACATAGTGCTTGTAGCAGGTGACTTTAATACCCGATTATGTAGCTTAGACCAAACAGAAAGACATTTAGGTGGGTATTTTAGTAATCCGACTCAGTGAACAGACAGTGGTGATCGTCTGCTGTAATTGTGTTAAGATGATCGTTTATGTTTAGCAAGCACTAACTTTAACCATAAGGAGAAACATCGTCTAACATTGCGACCATCTGCATCAAACCAAAGATGGACTTGAATAGACCATATTACCACCAGTCATCGTTGGAGATGCTCGATAGGAGACTGTCACTCAATCTGGAATACCTGTTTGGACTCCAGATATGCTCAAATACGAGCATGCATTTGCTTGCCCCTCACTGGATGCAGAAAAGCTGCATCACGAAAACCCATTAAAGTTGAACTCAATGACGAGAAAGCCAAAAGTGGGTTCCACGAACAACTGAGATCATTTTTCGGCGATTCTGAAAACGAGGCTGATCCAGGTGTTGCTTAAAAAGATATACAAACAACTGTAGAAACAGCGGCGACATCTATTAGTGATCTGAACCGAAGAGTTACGGAAAACCAGTGGATTTCCACTAAGTCTGCTTCACTTATGGATTCTCATAAACTCATCCCATCAGGCCCCAAACACGATAAAGAGCGAAAGCAAATCAGATCTAGGTTAACCAAAAGTCTATGGAACGATCTTGAGAAGTGGTGGGCAACGAAAGCAAAAGATATGGAAAAGGCAGTAACTGTAGGTAACACAAGACAGCTTTTCAGAATAATAAAAGAAACTGGAATTAGGAAGTCAAGTATGAGACAATTTCGGGAAAATAGATGACACTCTTATCTGCTCTCAGTTTAGATGGGCGGAACACTTTAAGTAGCAGTTCAGCTGGCCTTCAGCTACTGTACAATTACTTACTATTCCCAGACAACATGAATGGAACATTGAAGTAGGTCCGCCGACTCTAGCTGAAGTTCGAAAAGCTATAGCTAATCTGAAATGAGGAAGAGCAGCTAGTCCAGATAGATTAGCTCCAGAGGTCCTTAAATATGGTGGTCCAATTTTAGCGATTAGGTTGACTAATATTCTGGCTAAAATCTGGGATCCCAATCTTACGCTGAAAAATATTACAAATGAATGTCATGTTATTAATCTTAAAAATGATACTAAAATGATCAAAGGACCGAATCCCATCCATACATCTGGCATTAATCCTAATTCATTTGATTTGATGAAAATTTCTCACACAGATCGCATCATTAACGTCATAAAGCATGATTAGCGAAACTTTTCTCGCCCAAATTGAATGTCTGACGTCCAGAACTCTAATTCGCGTGCCTTCCCAAGGCCTCTCACAAGTTTCTGGCATTCTGGGGCACGACATGTCTCCCGTTTCTGTTCATTTATTAACCACAAATGAAAAACATGCGGAGTAACTGACTATAGGAGGAGATTTCGCAAATGCAGCAAACCTTAATCTTATTATCGAATGTCAAGGAGAATCACCTGTGTATATTGTTCTCGTCGACGGAATTTTCGAGCATTGATCTCCTACCAGGAAGTCCACTTATCGACTTAGAATGTACATATGATACAGTCCTGTTTAGCGAAGACACTGATAAAATGTAGTCTTTTGGTAGCACTGAGCGAAAATGCCAGGATGTTTGGGATGCATTTCTTCCCCTCTAAATGCAAGTAGTTGCTTCAGGACTGGCCTGCGTCAACACCTGAACTAAAGATAGAGAGTGAAGTAGTCGAACGTGTCTACAACTTCACTTATCTTGCAAGTCTAATCGGCCCTAATAAGTTAGTGTCTGACGAAATCTCAGCACGGATTAGAAAGCTCGTTTGGCTTTTGCCAACTTACGTCACCTATGATGAAGGCGAGATATCCGTTTATCAATTAACGGACGAGTATACTGCTCAGCAGTTCGTTCTGTTCTACTTTACGGCTGTGAAACGTGGACATTAAGAGTAGAAGATAATCGTAAGTCACTAGTATTTGACCACAGATGCCTTAGAAATATTGCTCGCATCTACTGGGATCACCGGGTAGGTATTAGTTACGTTAGACAGAGTATTAGGAAATGATGGTAAATCAGTTGATGAGGTCATGAATATTCATCGACTGAGATAGTTGGGCCACGTGCTACGTATGCCTGAACATTGATTACCACGACGCGCAATGTTGACTAGTATTGGGGATGGTTGGAAGAAAGTTAAGGCTGACCAAACCAAAACGTGGCATCGATGCTTGAAGCCACTAACTTCTAGTCTGAGCCATGTTGACAGATGCAGACTACTTGATTCAGGTCCACGTGACTATTGTAACCAATGGTTCGAGACTCTGGGTGACATGGCCCAGAATCGATCATAATGACATAGGTGCATACACCGTCTGTCTCCCATTAAACCCTGAGGTTAAAATTACTTCATACCTTTCTTTCTACCAACTAATTTTTCCTGTATTATATCCCTATACATAATCTTTCTTTTATATATTACTACCATTGAAGTAACTACTTCTATGAATTTGGTGTTCGTCTCGTTGTGCTAATAAGGTGTGGCAACTTGGACCGATGCATATATGTGCCTGATCCTACATTGTAGCTGACTGACATAGTTGAGATCGCGTTGACTGAACACGAAGATCCTAGTTTTATAGTGCATATTGATCGCATAAAGGTTCAAGTAATACGCAGATAACAAGACAACTCAAAATAATAGTCGGCTTTCATAGTTGAATGTCTAAAGAATCGGAGGACTGACTTAATACAATATTGATAAACGCAACCTTCCAGCCTAATTTATCTGATATTTTGTTGTCTAGTTCTACAGCAATAACCTTCCCTTTTCCAAAAATAATGGAAAAATTACTATTCAATCTGAAAATTAAACTGAATGGTCATAGTGATTACCACGAAAATACGAAGGCATTACTTTGAATACTGTTGTTTCACATCATAGCTCTTAAACGGAAAGGGCCATCAGGTATGAAACAATGTTTCTTCGGAATTAGTACATAAATACCTGTAAACTTAATATAACGGAGATACGGATACTTAATAGAATCGCAGTAGAACACGTCCTGTTATGTATTTAACTTAACACTTAATGAATTACAGAACATCGACCTCCTTCAACTAATATAATTTACCGATGAATAGCTAAGTGGAGATTTATCAGTTAACCAGTTCATAAGAACAAATGCAAGTATTTAAGTGACTGAAGTTTTTGCTACATATCTTATGCAAAATGTGAACACGGGCAGGTTCAAGGACCATCGTATTATTAAACAACTGATTTTTTTCCAAATGTGCAACGAAATTACCTTACAAAAATGTAAATGTCTGTTCTTCAGACGTACTAATTTATAGTAAAACTGTACTAAGAGAAAAAGTAACGTTGACAAGAATTAACTATATTTTTGCAAATTTACGACGGGAAATCCTTTTATTTCGTCTTAACTTTATTTGAAGGATGCTACTATCTTCGAAGTTCCGTTTGCGCAAAATTTTGTCGATTTCATCTGATGTCAAAGGAAGATCATCTGCAATTTGTGAAACGAGTTCTTTCGGTAATCTTTTAAGTGGTTTTTGAGACTTCTTAGGTTGACTAACGATTGGCACACCATCCTCTGAGCTTTTAAGTTTCTTAATAAGTGCATAAGATCTTCGATGGGCAGCTTTAGGAAGACTCGATAACTTTTCACTTATTGTGGTTAAAGCTGCTTCTGTTTCATCGTAGTACAAAGGAATAGAGATACCTGAGCTCTGAATGTAAATAGAACGGATATTCGCCATACCACCACCTGGCCATTCTGAACAGATTTTTTCACACTAAAAAGATAAACGAGAAATTTAAAAGATTGATGTTTTAAATTGGGGGTTGTATGGAACCAATAAAAATGTTAGTTTTCATAATGGTCACACTGATTATAGAACTACTAGGAACCTGGATAGCGACTCACTGAGTGATTCATAAACTCAGTATTTTATGATCTGACGAAAGTCCTCTTAGCTGGTGAAAAGCAGAGTCAGAATCTATTGTTAAATCCCTTCTAATTTGTCAGCTTAAAACGTTTTTTCATCGTGGGCTGAAATAAGATGAGGAAATGTTAAAAACCAAGAAGAACCAGCTCTGGTACGGCCAAGGGTGGGAAGAATCCTCTCTCCCTCTAGAAATGCTCTCACATAGCCAGGCGTTTATAGCTGTCAGGGAAATCCTACTTATTGCCTTCTCGTGGCGGAGGTGCTGTTTACGAAATTGAGAGGACGAAAACAGAATGTTCAGCGCCTTAACTGGGTTGGTGGATATGGAGGATCCACCTAGGGGAGTTGAAAAACCCCGATTCCAAACCAACGGTGCACATTGGTTCCAGGATCCTAAGGGAATAAAAGCTGTATGAACATATTATTGGTTACCAGCTACCATGAGACTGCACTTCATAACGTTGCTCCACTGCCTTGTGGATTAGACCTTGAGGTCAAAGGCTTCGGGTGTGACCTCCTAAGAAAACCACCTGATTCGGTTTAGGTACTCGGGCAAGATTCCAACCCTCACACAAACCAAATGATTATTACTACTGAGAAAATTATTCTTGATTCAACTCGCATTCAGAAAAACCCCACTCACAATCATTTGATAACATTCGTTCTTATTTCTCTTATACTATGTCACTTATGTATTACCTTTTATTTTCATTTTGCACATTTTATTTTTCAACTTATACAGCGGCTCGCCTATGGTGGAAATCCTGTTCTATCTAAACGATCTCAATTCATTGATTGATCGAAAGTTTAATGTTACCTCCAAATACAAATACTGGAAGTCTTTCTGAAACCAGCTAACCTCCTTCAACGTTCGCACATTAATGCAGATCGGACAACAGATAGGATTAGCTATGGCTTTACAAAGCCTTAATATCGACGTCTGTTGCCTATCCGAAACTCGTCTTCAAGACTCTAATGAAGTACTGCAAATTTTCTCTCTATATGTCGCTTCGAAAAGCTTGTTTTACGTTTGTCGCGCTAGGGCTGAGGCAACACTGACCCACTGGATTCCCATTAACAAGCAGTTATATGTTGTTAGACTAGAAAGTTTCACCAAAGTGAGAAGTCAGCGTACGAAAAGATTTTTTATCATTTACGCCTACGCTCTGACAGATTGAAACTCGGATCCGATCAAGGATGAGTTCTACCACCAATTATGTATTCCTTTACAGAAACTGTTTGACATATATTGTAGTACCAGCCGGACACTTGAATGAAAAAGCTGGGCATCTAGGCGCAGAAGATAGTCGTTTGGATGGCCGATGGGGACTTGTTGGTCGCAGGCCGAATAACGGTAAAGTCACTTGCGGCTTCGCGAAACGTCCCGCTTTTATGCATTGGGTTTATTCAGGCTGCTTACAACTCACTGAAGCATACTGATCTACTCCGGGTGACAGCAAGTTTGACCTCAAACGAAGACTTTTACGCAATCAAATAGGGCAAAGCTTGCGTAAGAACCGAGAAGCCTGGTGGTCGGAGGACGCCAATGAGTCGGAAGCAGCAGCTGCATCTGGTAACTGCTGGAGGCTCTTCCAACTCATCCGAGTCACTTGCAGCAACAAGTCTAGTGTGAGTGAAACAATCTGTGAAGATGACGAAGTGCCAACCACTAACATCTGTCGACTTCTTGGAAGGTGGGCAGAATTTTTTGAGGAGCACTTCAACTGGTCTGTTGCCCCGGCAACATCAATCAGAATGTCCTGCCCTCTATGGCCGGTGACGACTGATCCACCGAATGAGACGGAAGTCCGCAAGGAACTTCAATTCTTAAAGCGCTACAAATCACTGGGCCCAGATGGCTTACCTCCGGCTATTTTGAAGTTATTGGTGACTTTCTGGTTAAGGAACCCTATATACAAACACCTCAAACAAAGCGAGGGCATACAACCACCTCTCTCCATTGTCCCCTTCAAGCACTTGTGTTAGACAGGGTTGCCTAATCTCACTATTTCTCTTCAACTTTGCCATCGATGACGTTCTGGAAATAGCACTGATGGATGCACGCAATGGTGGTGAGGATCTGTTACCTGGAGAAGGACCCCTCGACCTTGAGCATGCAGATGATATTGTCTAACTGTGCGATGACACCCAAACCATGCAATCTGCACTTAATCAGTTGGCAATCAGTGTCCGCAAGTACGGTATGTGCTTTGCACCTTCAAAGTGCAAAGCACTCGTACAAAACTGGTAGGATTCTAATCCTGTGAGCAGATTGAAGTAGTTTAGAAGTTCGTGTATCTAGATAGCTGCATAAGTGCTAGTGGTGGTGTGAGTGATTAGATCGATGCACGTATAATGAAAGCCAGAGCGGCTTATGCAAATCTGGGCCATCTTTGGCGCCTTCGTGATGTTAGTCTGGCTGTAAAAGGTTGCATCCACAACGCGTCGGTGAGAGCAGTTTTGCTCTATACTTGTGAAACCTGGCCTCTCCGAGTTGAGGATGTTAGACGTCTCTCTGTGTTCGACCATCGTTGTCTCCGACAGATTGCTGACATCCAGTGACAACACCATGTTAGTAATGCAGAGGTTCAGCATCATGTGTTCGGGCACAGCGACGATAATTCAATTGGTGTCACCATCTTGAAACACCGACTTCGGTGACTTGGATATGTCCTACGAATGTCGTCCCACAGAATTCCACGTCGTGCATTATTTGCCGACACTGGGACTGGTTGAAAAGGTGAGGAGGTGGTCAGTTTATGACACGATGTGGTGTTATGAAAGAAAGCTGTGCAGGATTGGCTTCTGTTTATCCTTCACGACTCCCTGGTTGGGGTCCTAGAGATGGTGCAACACAGTGACTAGAGACGTTATTAGATATGGCTCAAAATAGAAGCCAGTGGAGATTCCGCTAACTGTCTTTTACTTTCATAAAAATGAACGTAACTTTTTTAATTGAAAGGATGCTTTCTGGTTACATTTTTGCTAACTGAACTGCTTCCCCTATCATTATTGTTATTATTATTATTTTACACTGACACTAATTTTTGTTCGTTGTTGTTCTTTTATTATACAGACTTTACATCCTCTATCTCTTCACAACATCATTGTTGTTGTGTGGTGCATATGTATTTGGTCCCCCTTGTACCAATGTTTGTTTTCAAATAAATAATAATTGATAAAATGTAAAAATATTGAGTTTTTACAAAGGTACTACAGTGCAAATAAGTCACTATAATTTGCGGACAAAATCAACTAATATGATTTTGACCTCAGCCCATAAGGCATCTTATTTTGCGCAAATATATATGTTGAGTCGTTTTGATCGGTACTAGTAACCCGGGATTCTGTTCACTACAAAAGCTTTTGTAACGTCTGATTACTTTAGTTGTCTTGGTTGGGGTGACTGAATGACTGAGTTGCACCGAATTAAAGACCTCATAAACAATAAGCTGTTTCGACTTACATATAGGGTCTCATGAAGGAAATTATTTTGACCCCCCACCTCATAATGTAAGTTCGTTCACTGTTTTTTGGTATGCAACATCTTGGTTAAGACAAACAATTAAATACCAGTTATTCAGTCGCCTTTAAGTGACAATACGCTGGTCATTTAAAACAAGTATACAGAAAGTAAACTGTGAAATAGTAAGGCTTTGGTGAGTACCTACATATCTGGAAGCAAACAGGATTGTTACTTTTTATTACTTCAAAATAGTTTAGTTTTTTAAGCAATATACAGATACGACAAGTAAGCAACAAGGCGAGTGTCGTAATACGTACTTTAAACATTTAGGACGTGAAATCGAGAACAAAAATTTTAAAATTACTTACAACGGATATTACATTCTCCTTTAGCTCGGATGAAGAGAAAAGATCATCCCCAATTATGAGACTATCAGTTGTCCCATGGCCTCGAATTACAAACAAAGATGTATGTAGTTGCTCTCTAACAGTATCTACAAGATTGTTTTTCGAAAATGACGTTGGGATAGGGAATTTCCCTGAAACCTCCTGGTAGAATGCTTTACCCAGTTTATTTTGTAAACGATGAACGATTCGTTTGTCGGCAAGAAATATATCAAAAGTGCCAGCCAGTCGACGTTTGGCGGCAAAAGTTTGGTAAGCTACTTTTAATTCACGCAGAGGTAAAAATGTCACTTCAGGTGCGTCCAAGTGAGAAAGTTCTGACTTTTTCAAATCCATATTCCAACGTCGTTTCCAAGATTCTGTAGTGCGTTCATAATCATCTTTGCGAAAATCTTTAACTATCAAACAGATAGACAGATTTTTTGAACGATGTGGTAAGTTTACACGAATAATTTTTGGAATGGATAATTTGCTTACTACAACAAGATGTACACTGTCAGGAATTAAGTTTAGAGTTTTGAGTTTCCCTTCAGGTTTCTTGAAACTATTATCTGTGATGTTATTTAAATTTTCTTTGATAATATCCATCTAAAAAGGATAAAACCAGGTGAGTAATCACTGTTAATCAGAACCCAAGGAGAGATAACTACTGTTAAGGCTAGAAACGAAAACCAGCCGTCCAGACTTGTTATGGTTACAATTCACAGAAAGGTGTTTGGAAAGATAACCCCACCACGCTGATCACAATTACAGTTCAGATTAAAGAGACAGTTCAATTGTCCTAACAGTGGAAGAATTGGTGCAACCAATTTTAAACCAAGAATATTGACGTCAGTAGTTGCATAATCCTTAATGAAGTCTCGAGAACCAAGCAAAAGAAAATCAGACTTTCCATACCTTAACTAAAATGCATTGACCAAATATTTAATATTCGTCCTGTTTTTGCCTATAAATATATCTACCGACAACTGCCCTTGGTTGTCTTCCAAGATCTAATGCCTACATTCGACCAGTTATTCAACAGGTTTTATGACTAGCTGAAATGTGTGCCAAAGAAGTATGTTGACCACCAAAAAAGCTCTACTCTTACATTTTTAGATGAGAATATGGAAGACTCTTGAACTCGTATAAAAAATGACCACTCTCATTTTTATTTCATTTCGTGAGATAAAATTCTAGAGACAACTTTAATTGTCTGAATATCCAGGGATTCTTTTATCAGTAGATGAAATTTTCAACCTAACCTACCACGATGGCATATTTTATATTTGGTGAAGACATGTCATATCTTGAGTATTCCGAGCTCACAGCCTGTCTAGCCGTGAATATTTTAGATGCGCTGTTTCTGAATCGGCCCGTGTCGCAAACACAGTAGACTACACTGAAAAACTAGAATTGTAGTGATGTAGGCTTCTTTAATTCTCAATACTAAATCCCGGACATCAATCTTTTATATTTGCCTCCTCGTCCCTCAATTTGCGAAATACTTCATCTCGCCTAATCTCTTTTCACAGACTAATTTTTCTCCTATCGTCCTCTGCATTGTGGCAGCATAAACAGACTTTTGAAGATATTTTTGAAGATATTTGTATAAGAGGTAAAAGCAGAATAGTTACAGATGTCGCTATAGTAGCTATAAGATTAAAAATACTTCACCTTAATGCCTTCTAAGTATATGACCACATTCCAGATTAAATGATATTTTTCCCCAACAACTTTGCATGAATGTGATGGTCAACTTCAATGATTAGTGAATATTGTTAAATACACAACGGAATATGACTGACAGACCATGAGAGCATCAAAAGAAAGTTCCGGACCATCTCAGCAACCTGGATAAGAAAAGTATCTGCGTTCGTCACTAACGCACATCATTTTAACGCTCATGTTCTGCAAGCTGCACTGTTTTAAATATTAGAAAACTTCAATTAAATATTGAGTGCCAGAAAAATAAAACGCATCAATGGGCAGTTACAGTGTTTTTGCATTTGAAATGGCTTCTGGCCTGGATAAAATGCTTTGAACTACTATTATTCTAAATTTATCGCAATACATGACATACAACAATCTGCCATGCGCTCAAAGTAGTAGTACGAAAGGGAATGATAGAAAGTAGTACTCTAATCAGCAAAATAGTGTCAAACGCACATAATGTGAAACAAAACTGCACGCAAAACATGGAACTAATTGCATGAGAAATGGGGTTCGCAAAATTTGGCTCCACGTGCCTCGTTTGAATCCGTTTCTACTATCTGGGTACAAGCATACCTTAATGACGGCTATTACGATTAAAATACTACAATTTTGCTGATTTCTATAGGTAGCTGGGCTTTTGAGTGATCCTGCGACTAATTGAGATATCTGGGTTTGGCGGAGAGAGACGCCGCGAGCACAACTTACTATCGTAACGAGCAGTACAAAAAATGCGCAATGAAGCAAGCATTCAATCCAATATCTAATATCCTTATCATCAATTCACTTAACCAACTGATCTCTCTGCACTCGCTTCTTGTTGTTTCAGTACAATTCCAGGCATTTAGTAACGTCCATTGGGGTTAGTCTAGCCACTCGACTGCACCAATTCTAAACAGTTTGGTAGTTATTTATGAATTGGTATACCTTGTAATTTGAATAAGTATGTTTGCCTCAGGCAAGTAGGAATTATGGATTTCATCCCCTATCTCACTATCAGGCAAAAGGCTTAGCCAGTTGCAATTAAAATAAAATAAAGTGGTAATTCCAGTGCTAAATGAAGACGATTATTTCAATAATAAATTAGTTAATTGATTAATAATGCAAATATTGTGAGAAGACGGAATTGGAAGAGTAACAGTGGAAATGGAGATGATAATAAGCGACTTAGTAAGTGGTTCCTGACGTGCGGCAATGATGACCATGGTTAATTATGAGACATGAATCAAGCACAGCTTGTCCAAGAAGGACATAGTAATCCATTAGCGAATACATGTTTATCAATCCAGGAGGGAAATCACTCCAAAAGATTGATACTTTTAACGAAAAAAACTGAAAGCTCTTCGATATACAATCCTTTTAACGTTTCCTCGAGAAGCGTAGTGATAATTTTCTGATAGTATGTTCGGTTTATGGTGGTTTGTCGTACTCATTATGTTATATGTCATTATCAGTTAGCCTCTTATTCTCCTGGGGCTCAGCGAGAATAATCCCAAGTGTTAGAGTCTGTCTTCGTAGGATTATTTCATAGCTCAATCACCTACTTGGTTGCCTATCTTTGGCGGCCTGTTTAAACATCTGGGCTACCTGTTCCTGTCATCTAGATATTTCAACACGTTATCTAATTTCGTTTGTTTTAATACATCATTATGCCTATTAATCGCACAACCTATTCAGGTGCGTTTCTGAAAAGTGTAGGACCTTTCACTGTAAAGGTTACAGAAGGCCTAATTAGAGATATCGTGGTTGCTGGCAGGACGCAGCGAGAAGAATGTACACTATCCAGATGTCGATTGACTGGACTGCTATCCTCTAACCGGCGATCACTCAATATTTATCGTCAGGAAGGACGAAGAAGTAAGAAACGGAAACTTGTTGAAGTACTTTGTGCTGAGAATTCCATATTGTACCAAAAATATAATATTGAATAAAGCTAATAATAATAATCTCAGCATATGGTTTGAAGATTAATGTCCCTTTGGAAAGAAGGAGCCGCAACGACATTCTGGATGTCAAGATAAGTCTGTGCATACATTTCGAACAGTGTTAGGAACAACTCTGGGATGATTGCACCAAGTTTTCCGCGGTCAAAGTGGGAAGTTGCGTTAGCCCTGACTGGGCCCCTGTGTTGTTTAAGCTGATTTCTAAGCTCTTAGTGGTCACAAGCCCATGACCACACTCTGAGGAGACAATCGGGAGGGAATTCCGGTCGGGTATATAAGTGTCTTGTCTCAAATGAGGCAGAGCTATCATAGCATGGCATTTGGAAAGATCAAGTTTTAACCCAATATTTACTGTCTATTCCTCTTTTATTGTGAGGCCCTTTTGAAGCTCAACTAAATCCTCTTCGTTTTTTACAGACCTAATTTTCGCATGGACTGTACAGAATAGTACTGTTGAGTTAATTTCATCTGAAAAGTCATTGATAAAGATTAAGAGCGGGAGTAGACCTTAGATTTTGAGACTCATTAACGTGTCTGAATCCTATTTGCCTTGATACGTAGTGTTCTTTCTTCCAGGTAATTTTGAAGTCAGGATAAAAGTAGGTCAGTAAAGCAACAACTTTTGATAAGAGAAGTATATGAGGTACTGTGTCAGAGGCTTTCGCGAAATCAAGGGATATTATGTGAACCGGTATCTTTCAGTCCTAGAATGTCGTCTAGCAGTCCCATTCTCCTTTGCCAATCAGCAGCTTTCTTTCAAACCGAAAGTGGCTACTGTACAGGAGGAACTAAATCCGATCAAATGTCCGAGACTTCTCATACCGTCAGTTGGGCATAAACCTTGACAGATGTCACACCAGTGAGATTTTGGTCTAGGTGTAGTGAACAAGAACACGAGTGAAGACAATCGAATTTATTTGAGCACAAAATTACAGACTATCTCACTAAATCTTACAGCCATACAGTAAACAGTTAATTTGTACTAATTTATTATCAAGCTGTACAGTCGTATATATATGAAAATGTTTTATTAAAGTACTAATTCCCGTGAGGAAATGTGGACACTAATAGCCAAGATTATAATAAGATGATTAAAATGAATAAAATGTTTTGGTTACAATAATTAATGGTCATAGAGGTGTAAAAATAAATAAGATGATCTGATGAGTATTCATGGATAAAGTAATGAGAATATAAGATATAATTATGATAAGATATATTATTATTACTCCATATCCCCTTTACTTATATCTTATATTCTCATTATTTCATTCATCAATACTCATCAGATCATCTTATTTATTTTTACACCTCTATGACCATTAATTATTGTAACCAAAACATTTTATTCATTTTAATCATCTTATTATAATCTTGGTTATTAGTGTCCACATTTCCTCACGGGAATTAGTACTTTAATAAAACATTTTCATATATATATGACTGTACAGCTTGATAATAAATTCGTTGAAAAGAGATCCCTTCGCTGAACTCCGTGTTTTAATTTTAATGTTTAAATGGGAATTATATACCAGTTAATTTGTAAACTATCAATCAATTGTCTCAATATTGACCGTTCCTTCTGCATATATCAGTCCATCGTCTCTGATTTCATTGTTCATGCATTTTCATACCCATTTCGTTCAGTTCCCGTTCTTTCCTTATCGATCTTCTACTGAAGTACATTCCATGCCCGACCACCGTTATGTACTACTTATGTGAGTACTAGTAACCCACACCACATAGGTTAGTACTGGTACACTTATCTATGGTACTAAGACAGTAAATTCCACCCATTAACGTGAAGCCGCTATGACACAACTACAAAGTTACAAGGCAGCTGGCAATAAATTGTTGTTTATCCGAAGCATATTGAAAACTTTGGTTTACTAGTTAGGATTCTTCCAGCAATGACTTACGAAAAGACAAAGCAAACTGGATCAATCAACATTTGTAGTTGGTTCAAATGGTAGGTTCTCAACCGCGTAAGGACAGAAATAGAATTAATTAGAATCACTATGGTGAAAAGAATGTTCAGGGTTTTCAGATTTAATTTGATCGTAATTGTAAGACTACACTCATTGCCAAGTTGGATATATGCAGGGAGATAACAGTGTACTTTGGGTTCGTTTCACGTAAACAAAGTGGGCTTGGAAATTAACAAAAGCGGTATCTCTTGAGACGTAATCTTGTAATATTATAGTCTACTTCGTCATTAGTGCTGCTAAAATAATAGACCTAATCCTAAAATTGTAGATTTGCCATGATATGACTACCCCATCTACAAGATCGTACTTGAAGGTTACATCATTGTCTATACTGACTTGTTCTACCGCAGCACCATCAATATGGTGGAGAACACGTTTAGGCTAGAGATAGAACAATATATTTATGTGATATTTGTATAAGAGGTAAAAGCAGAATAGTTACAGATGTCGCTATAGTAGCTATAAGATTAAAAATACTTCACCTTAATGCCTTCTAAGTATATGACCACATTCCAGATTAAATGATATTTTTCCCCAACAACTTTGCATGAATGTGATGGTCAACTTCAATGATTAGTGAATATTGTTAAATACACAACGGAATATGACTGACAGACCATGAGAGCATCAAAAGAAAGTTCCGGACCATCTCAGCAACCTGGATAAGAAAAGTATCTGCGTTCGTCACTAACGCACATCATTTTAACGCTCATGTTCTGCAAGCTGCACTGTTTTAAATATTAGAAAACTTCAATTAAATATTGAGTGCCAGAAAAATAAAACGCATCAATGGGCAGTTACAGTGTTTTTGCATTTGAAATGGCTTCTGGCCTGGATAAAATGCTTTGAACTACTATTATTCTAAATTTATCGCAATACATGACATACAACAATCTGCCATGCGCTCAAAGTAGTAGTACGAAAGGGAATGATAGAAAGTAGTACTCTAATCAGCAAAATAGTGTCAAACGCACATAATGTGAAACAAAACTGCACGCAAAACATGGAACTAATTGCATGAGAAATGGGGTTCGCAAAATTTGGCTCCACGTGCCTCGTTTGAATCCGTTTCTACTATCTGGGTACAAGCATACCTTAATGACGGCTATTACGATTAAAATACTACAATTTTGCTGATTTCTATAGGTAGCTGGGCTTTTGAGTGATCCTGCGACTAATTGAGATATCTGGGTTTGGCGGAGAGAGACGCCGCGAGCACAACTTACTATCGTAACGAGCAGTACAAAAAATGCGCAATGAAGCAAGCATTCAATCCAATATCTAATATCCTTATCATCAATTCACTTAACCAACTGATCTCTCTGCACTCGCTTCTTGTTGTTTCAGTACAATTCCAGGCATTTAGTAACGTCCATTGGGGTTAGTCTAGCCACTCGACTGCACCAATTCTAAACAGTTTGGTAGTTATTTATGAATTGGTATACCTTGTAATTTGAATAAGTATGTTTGCCTCAGGCAAGTAGGAATTATGGATTTCATCCCCTATCTCACTATCAGGCAAAAGGCTTAGCCAGTTGCAATTAAAATAAAATAAAGTGGTAATTCCAGTGCTAAATGAAGACGATTATTTCAATAATAAATTAGTTAATTGATTAATAATGCAAATATTGTGAGAAGACGGAATTGGAAGAGTAACAGTGGAAATGGAGATGATAATAAGCGACTTAGTAAGTGGTTCCTGACGTGCGGCAATGATGACCATGGTTAATTATGAGACATGAATCAAGCACAGCTTGTCCAAGAAGGACATAGTAATCCATTAGCGAATACATGTTTATCAATCCAGGAGGGAAATCACTC